CACACAAAAATGTGGAAAAGGTTACTTTCAAGGTCAAATTAGAATTTATTACTATCATTTTTTAGTTAAAAGCATCAAAGGAAGTTACCTGGATAATGTTGTGGAGGGTCACAAGTAATTGACTTTCCCCAGTATTCTCTGCCATAGTCTGGTGATCTCTTTTTGTTGAATTCTCCAATGACTGATCAAATGAAGGATTAAAATATAAAGTATATCAATAATCTAAGCTTCATCAATAAATTAATATCTTTAATACACAACCTTTTCTTTAATGTAGGAGAGATTTTTTGAGAATTTGGTGATATGTATAAAACAAAAAATTAGAAGTGGGTTGGTTAAAACAAGAAGAATAGTATTTACAATTAAATAAAAAGAAACTGATATACTTACATCCAAAACTCAAATGCACAGTTTGACTAATAACTGTTCCAAATTTATTGGTGGCAGAGCAATGATACTTTCCTCGGTCTTTGGTTTGATTGGGATCACTTATGATTAAGATACCATCAGTTTGTGTGTAACGGTAGTCAGACAGTGGATCTATAGCCTGATTCACAAGATTATCCCTTTTATATTCTTCCTAAAAATACAAAGTAAAGAAGTAAAAAAAGTTAAGAAAGAGGGGAATTTCTTCTTGTACTGCATTTTCAAAAGTTTTAACCAGATGTGGGCAGTGTTGGTGCTTTGCACCAAACCAGTTTCTGTGAAACTATACATAACAAATTTACTTGGTGTATCTTCGTAAAATTTAGTAGGCTTTTAGCAAATATAAAAGTATGTTATACATCAAAACCAGAATTTCTAATAAAGCATTGTCACTAAAGGTTTGACTGTGAATTTACTGAGACAGTCTGAATTGGACTCTGACTAGTCTGAGTGCAAGGTGATTTTCATGTTAAGAACAAAAATACTTTTTTTTTCAACTTCCAATTTTCATACTTCATGTGCATAATCTCTAACACCTCCTAAATGTAGCAAAATCTTCAATGTAGGGTAAAATGAAAAGTTGAAAAATATTGAATAAATCTAAATTAGTCTTTTCTTCTTTCTACAGTGACTGCATATTGTATCAGACAATAACACACTATTTGTTCTTAAAACCAAAGCTGAGTTTTGAAATCTGGGCTTATTTAGTTTTATTGATTTACAAATGCACTTATACCCTTCTCAGAGTATGTCAAAAGCCATTTATTACAGCCAGACAGCTTTGTGTAAATAAACAACCGAGTTATAAGCACAACATGAATGAACTACAAACACATCCTCACAAAGTGTGCTATGATATTGACTACTACAAATAATGTTTGTGTATTTTTAAACAAGTTTTCTTACCTAACCTAATAAGTCTCATTTTTTACAATTTAGTTGCTTTTATAACAATAAATAAAAAAATAAATCTAGTACTTGCTCATCTATACTCCCTTTTTTTTTTACTGTTGACAGACAAAGCACTGTGATCTTTTTTTGTAAGCTATGACAAGCTATGAGGAGCTTTAATGGTGGGTGTCACAAATTTAGTTATATTCCACTAATTCAAAAAGGTTGGAGATTTAGATTTTATATTATAAACTGTTAATATTTATAGCTTGAATTTCTATTTGTTTGGCCTCTCTGACAGCCTTAGAAGGGAATAAAGAAAATCAAAAATAAGAGAATCGGAGGGAAAATGCATCACAGAAATAACAATTAAGAAACTAAACTAAAAAATTAAAACTTAGATAATACAAAACTTTGAAGTTTAAACTACATTTTTATGCTAAATTTATTGATGTAAAGTTGTTTAATTAAATTCAGGTTTCATACATCTTTGGAGCAAAACGTTTCCAATAACATTTCAATAAATTTCTATGACTTGCAAAACATATGTTTTTCACTGTATTGTATTCTTAGAAAAAGCCATACTGTAATAGCTAATCTAGAAGAGATCATGACAAACATCCATTTAACAATGCATCAACAACAGTAAAACATTCTGAAGAAATACTTGTTTAAATTATAAACATTTGGTTAGAAATAGTTTTACACACTGCAAAGGAATTATGTAGGTAGAGCAATAACTACTAAACTACCATTAACTTTATTTTTGGCTTTATTCAGCATTATTTGTACATGATGCACGAAATATTGAGTAAAATATTCTAGACCAGTGTTTCCCAACCACCAGTCCACGGACCAGTACTTGACTTGATTTCTATTGGTCTGCAACATGTCTTGGCTGTTGAAAGCACTGCCACTTTTTTACGTGTCTTTCAATATTTGATGACTACCTACGTCTACCTTTTCTTTTTTGTTTTTGAAATAAATTGTTTTTTTTGTAAATATCATGTTATTTTACTTATGTAATTAACTGATATTATATTTGGAATGTCGATATCCAAAAATGTTTTTGGAATTTTACTAGTCTGTGATTACCAAAAGTCTGGGAACCACTGTTCTAGACAACTATGTCAAGAGTAATACCTGCAAATAAAACAATGTTTTAAGAAAATACTTAAAGCAGTTTTATTTTGTCAATAACTTTTTTTTTACTTTGTGATTATGAATTATGCTGGTAAAAATGGTTTATACAAAGGAATTCAGAAGTTATAAGAAAAAAGTGGGTTTAGTACATCATTTTATCCTAAACAATAATGTAGACATGGAGGCAAAGACTGCATTTTTTCATCACCTTCTCTGCACTTTAATAAACACAAAATATAAAGTTTAAACAAAAAGACTTCTTCAATAAGCAGCATAATGCAGGAACACAAACTGTTACTCCAGAGGTTCCCACATCCCTGCCAGTGGAGTGAACCAAAACTTTTTGATACTATTAAATGTTCTTAATTAGTAAAAGGGGATTAATTTTTCAATTCAGAGCTTCTCTTCAGTTTGTTTCTTAAAGTCCTGTAGATAATTCTTTCAGATGTGCAGTGTGCAGCACAGATTACTTGACTTGGTAACAAAAGTTAGCTGCTAACTGAGTTAACTCTTACAGCATATTCATTTCCTGACTGCATCAGCATCTTCACATCAGCTTCTGCTCTCAAGTATTCAACCTCATCCGTTACAGATTTCCTATTCATGCCTACAATTTGTTGCTCTTTCAATAATTTTTGTTCTTTCAGATAGACATGATATTTCAGTTTGCCTCCTGTGGCTGATATAAAAAAAAAATCTCTTTTGTTATCTCTACATTTGAAACTCCTCTAACATTTTTAACATGATTTAGCAATGACTCTCTGTGTTTAACATTGTTTGCAAAATTTGAGCATGAATTTCTCACAGCCTGTTATTTTAGTAAAATCTTCTCTTCTGTCAAAAGTATATTTGAACAGCCAATATAAACTGGAGAGCACCTGATTAATGGTCCCCCCACTTGCTTGGCAACCATCAGAAAATTAATTGTGAATGACATGCAATCCACAAGTGTGAAGTATACATTCAGCAATACTTATTTATAATGGCTGGAGATGGCTTGAATGGGTAATGAAGAAAAACTTTAATAATGTACAATGTTTCCTGATGATGACAAAACCTTGTCAAAACATTGTACATTTGCTGTTATGTTAAACTTATATTAAAGTTTTTCTTCATTACCCATTCAAGCCGTCTCCAGCCATTATTAATCTCAAAGTGGGTTCCTCGTCATCAAATTTAAATACTTATTAATGTTCTTCTGCACTTGCACTGAATAGTGTCAAAGACTTTTCACTTCACATTGGGTCCATTCATAGTAAACTGCATAAGGTTCTTCAATCCAAAGGCACCCACCAGATCACTTGCTGAAGCATGTCCAAAAAATTCAGAAGTTAACATTTCCTAACAATGAAAATGTATTTCTGATCGATATTTACCTGTTTCCCAAATTCTACTTTGTTGATTATGGCAGTTGATAATTTTCCCATCATAAGTATACAGCAGTTATAACAATAGGCCTCAGTCTCAGGATGTCTGCTGAGGACTTTTGTTTGTGGGGAGCCAGCAATTAGTTCCTTTTAAGATAGGTATTGTTCTTTTTCCCAGGAAATCTGTGGTAAGTTTTCAGTGTGAAAAACAAGAAATAAAGTACTTACCCAATCTTCTTTTTTCTTGCTCTCGGGCTTACGACGAGAGTTAACCCTAATTTTATATACTATAGATAGTAATGCACTAAATATTTATTTAATTAAATAATGCACCAAAGAATACAGACTAATAACACGCAAAAAGTAGACACATTCACTTACTTCTCAAAATTTCTCTGGCTTTCTAACTATGCAACAAGAACCATTACAAATTCATCCAACCTAGTTGTTAACTTTCCCATGGGAATGAATCTTGTACTGTGAGTGAAATTAATGATATTCTGTTCAGAATACAACCTCATACCATAATCATTTGATAGATGAAAAACATGACTTTCTATTGGTTATAGGTAATATATAATGAAAGAGAGGACTATCAACAAATTGTGAAAGAGAGGATTTGACAGGTGGATGTAGCAGAAGGGGTCTGATTCTCTGTTCGATACCTTTGTAACAAAACATTGAAGACCAGAAAAATTATGGTTTGTCTGAGCAATAACGATTTTATAGAGTATTTTACGTTCAATTTCATACTTTTTTTTGTGGGGTGGGTGGATAAAGTGGGGATGAAGACATGCTATGAAAAATTGTATCACATGGGTCACACTATTGGAAATTCAGGATTTTTTTAAAATATTCCCTTGCAGAATTAAGAACTTAAAACTTGTATACTATTAAAATATGTATTATTAGCTAAGATTTTATGCTATTCTAATTGGTATAACATAAAGATAAAGTAGTTTAATAAAATTTTGAATGTAAGACACTAAAACCTTGTATCATGTGCAGGAAAGGGTACCCGGGACAATAGGGTTAAATGATTAGTACATGTTATACACTTACCTTATACCATGTGTAAGTTGGTGGAGGATATCCTCCAGCAACACAACGAAGGGAGATGTAGTTCACTTGATTTCTTCCACTAAGATCAAAAACAGCATCTTCTGGTTCCTGAATGAAAAATGGTCCTTTTGGAAGTTTTCTCTTGTCATTCACAATAATACCATAATCTGAAAATCAATCGGAAACACTAGGTTATAAGTTAGTTTTTGCATTTTTATTATCATTTTCATACTTCATTGAGTCAAAAATTATTTAAAACATAAAAAATCTTACCAATGCTTCTGTCCATAATGACTATTTCATTAAGATCTTCTTGATGAACTTCACAAATATAGGCTAATTCTTCTGAAGATGACACCTTGGCTAGACCCCAACTGTTCGTTTTTTGAGAGTAACTAGGCAAAAGGTGTTTTGAAATTGTCATTTATAAGAATTAATGTTAAAATACAGAGTGAAATATACTATGATATTGTACTTGATTAAATAATTTTCAAAATGAAATAGTTTTTGTCAAGACTAACATTACATACTTTGATTGAATACAGCTTAAAGATTTTTAAACCCAAACACATTACACTTTTTAGATGCATGTTTTTTCACTACTTAAATACAATAATAAAAATTTCCTTAATACAGACTAAAACATACTTGTATGCCAGATATTTCCATAGTTCCTTTTCCTGGTCTGGTAGCCATAAGGCATCAACATTAGTAAACTGAGTTTGATCTCCGTCCCATACCCATAAGTTGTTTCCTTCATCTCGACCACTTGTAAACCATCTATACAAAAACAACAAAAGTAAATGTATTAAAACCATAAAACTAATCTTGAAGGCCCAATGATTAAACAACCAATAAACCTAATTATTATACTAAGTTTTATACTATGTCTAAAAATTATATATATACATTAAGAAAATTTAAAAAAAAGGAATGTCATAAACTCATCATACCTTCGGTGTTGAGGATCATTTAGACTAAGATAGTTAGCAATATAACTATGCTCTTCAATAGTATTCACTGATACTAAATGGGCATTATAGGCCAAACATTTTTCTTTAGCACTTTTTAAGTCTTTTGGTGGGGCACGAGTGAACTTATAACATGATTCAAGAACAGGCTCCCATCCTTGTGGACATTCTATACTGATGACTGAAAATATTAAAAAAAAAGAAAAGTTACATGAACATATAAAATTGAAACAAGCTATCCATATATTTTACCACTTAAAATAATAAAGCAGAGCACAATATAAATAAAATACTCCCATACTCATAAAAACTAATATTTTCAGTATTTTTAAACAAGTAAAATGTCACCTTTGGAAAGAAGTCCTAATATTATAGTTAGCAAAAAATTACCATTTTCAGTATTTTAAGCTAAAAAAAAATGTATTTCAAAAAAAATCATACTGTTGTCTTAAAAAGTTTTGTATTTTATTTTGTCATGAAATTTAACTAAGTTCTGTAAAAATGTGATGTATTGTTAGCATGCAGTGAATGTTAACAAGTTCTAACTATTTACATACATACTTGATAGTGACTGGTTATAATAACTCTAAAAAGGTATATAAATAAAACAACAAAGGAAGAAAGAATAGGGTGGCAGTTAGAGGTGTCATGATACAGACACTAGTTGATACAATACAGTATCATAATGTGATGTGTGTATCAAACAAAACTTTTTTCCTTTCATTTGTTTTCCTTACTTTTTCTACACTTACTATGTCTTCTTCATTTTAATTAATATGGCATCAGCTATCAACTGAAATAAAACCTGAACAAATATAAAAGTTTAATATTTATTAATTCAACAAACTTAAAATTATTATACATTATTATACAGAATCTGCTCATGAGATAGCATATTTCAAATAAATTATTAAAACAATTGTAATCATCATTATTTCTGAATGAAATAATTTAAAAAATAAAAGGAACAGTCATTCTTGTTTCTGACTAGAAACATAAGAAAGACAACTGAAATAAATGTAAATTACCATGGTCAAATATTACATGGATTTAAAACTTTACCAGTATGAAGTATATAAATGAAAATAAAATGACTACTTGGAGAAAAGCAAATAATAATATAAAATAAGTAATAATCTGAGATCTTTTCACTTAAAAAATATGTACTTTACAAAACTGAGATCAATTTCACATGACTAGAATGCATAATCACCTCAGCATTCTTTCCAGTAAAAAAAGGGGGGCATTTATTTGGCTGTAAACAATAAAAAAAGTGTCTAAAACAGATAGAAAAATTCCTGTGCTTAGATTTTAAGTCACACAATTAGTCTCAGAGATAAGGCAAGTCTTTTAAGCATTTTTTTCATGAAAATTAGCAATACGACAGTTTTTATCATAGCTCTTTGGGCTGAAACAATTTGACCAGCAGTTGAAAACAGCAGATATGGAAAACAAATGCTTGGCTATTTTAGATAGATAGATTTGTATGCATTAGACTCCCACCAAGAAAAAATACTCATATCAACTGACAGTTCACTCGTAGACCTCTGAAGTTCATAACTGCACAAGTCAGGTATACTCTTTTGAACAGCAACTGACTCTTCCTTGAATGTGTGACCTAAAAGCTTATTTAATGGTGATTTTTCTTTTTGATTTACTTAGGAGTTGGTTCTTCATCCTTTCCTTTCGTAATACCTTTGACATGAGTTGGCAGAGCTTCAAAATAAACAGCAGGGAGTTCATCTGTAGAAAGTAATGATGTTTTTATTTTTTGTTTCCTGTCAGACAGGGGAATAATTCAGACTCACAGCTCTCTCAAGCAGGGCATTGTGTGCTACTTCTTAAAATGAATTAAAAAAAGAATAGTTTTGAAACTTGAACCAAGAGCAGTTGCAACGTGAAGTAGCTCTTCATCTCTAGCATAATATTTTTTTTCATATCTTTGATCATACCAGGATCATTCTCATTTTCAGAGAGTCCTTGTTTCAATAGTAGGAGGCTATTAGCGAAACGTTAGGATGGGGGTAGGACTCTTGAAGGATGATAAAGGAAGGCTAGTATCTGATGATTATGAGATGGCTGGGTTATTAAATTATTTCTTTTTCATCAGTTTATACCAACAAATATTTAAGCAGTATTCACCATCTTGAACAGTTGATAGATGAAAAGAAGATCAAACTAGACAACTGCATTAATTCTCAGCTGGTTAAGAAAAAATAATGTTTCTCCAATGGTTTTGAAAGAGATTAAAGATTGGATATGTGAGCCACTTACTACTATTTTTGTCAATCCTTGAATAGTGGGCAGATACCAGAGGATTGGAAGTCAGCTAATGTAACTCCTCCTTTCAAGGGAGGTAATAACAATTGTCCCAGTAATTATAGACCCATTAGTCTTACATCAGTTGTGGGGAAAGTTTTGGAAAGTCTGTTAAAGGATGCTTTGCAAAGTCATTTAACAAAGTTTAGAATTTTATTGGATAGTCAACATGGTTTCACTAAGGGAAAATCTTGCCTTACAAATCTTTTGAAATTCTTTGAAAAGGTTACTGCTTATGTAGATGAGGGTAAGTGTGTAGATTTGGTGTATCTGGATTTTCAGAAAGCATTTGACAAGATGCCACATAAAAGGCTTGTAAATAATATGATCTCTATAGGTGTGGGAGATAAGTTAGATGATTGGATGGAAGAAAGCAGAAGGTTGTTAAAAATGGAGTTCGGTCAAACTGGATTAATGTCACAAGTGGGATACCTCAGGACTCAGTCTTAGGACATTTGCTCTTTTTGATTTACATCCATGACATAGTTGAAGGTATAGTCAGTAAGTTACTTAAATTTGCAGATGATATTAAGGTATTGGGTGTTACTAGCTGTGAAGAGGATGCTGGTGATTTACAAAAGGATTTAGATCATTTAGAGAGTTGGGCAAATAAATGACAGATGGGTTTTAATTATAATAAATGCAAGATAATGCATGTGGGTTATCATAATTTGAATTACAAGTATAATTTGGATGGTAATAACCTTAACAGTGTTCTGAAAGAAAGGGATCTTGGTGTAATAGTCGATCAGTCTCTAAAGTCATCCAAGCAGTATGCTGTTGCTAGTGTATGGGAAATAAGATTTTAGTTTGTATCTATAGAAATATTGAATACAAGT